ATGGGAATCAAAGGCGGTTGATCGGAGTGCATGGCACGATCTAATCACGAAGGCAGTTGGCGAAGTGCAGGAGAAAGACCTCATACATGCAGAGAAGAAGTGGCAAGCACCGATGGGTTGTACTCCATCGACATCGAGCGCATGGTGCTGTAGCACATGCTGTCGCGAGTGCCTGAGTCAGGCAGACCTAGTGAGCCATGAGCGAGGCCACTCGGGACCACCACCGAAGCGACGACGGGTCCTGCAGAGAACGTAGGCAGAACCGGCGCGGCGTTTATAGGTAAGCTGCATTCGATTTACTAACCGCGTACTTGCATGCTAAGTCTATTTTTTCAGGTGGTGGGTTTTCAATTTTGTCCTGATGCTTTTTCCCCATATAAATGCCTACTTATACTCTCTTCTATACACTTGCGCACGTCGCTTGAGCCACTTGTAGTTATTTCGATAACATTTTCGTGTTTGTAGCATTTCCGTAAAATAAACTTCCTGACCTCTGGAACTTACCTCGTATTCGTTGGTAAACAACTTATTTCATATGGTCGTCAATTTAACATTTATGTTACCGTTTCGTTATGCATTACTCGATTTATTTTCTTGGTTATCTTTCTCTCAAGTGATTGGCTGTTGTTTGATATCCCCGGTGTGGCTCCGCTTAATGTGTACGTTGACAAGGTGCCTACCTGTCTATTACCCACTACCTCGTCCACACTGGCTCTAGGAGACAGTTGGTCGTTGCTGGAGCGGACGGGGTGCACGGTCTTTGTGGCCGTGTTAGGTTCGAAGAGTGGTTCCATGCACTCAGTGTGGAGCGGACTACGGTCCAGCCACCGCCTTGTGTGCGCTTGATCCAACAAATACAGCGTGCTTGTGTTTGACTGTGAAGGAGTGTGGGCCGGCTCCGTTGATGAAACGTGGCTCCCATCCACATGCCTCCCGGTCTTATTCCTTCGGGTTTACACTGGATATGGGGTGTGTGGTTGGAGCTGTGGGTGGTACAGCGCAAGCCACCCGTGGTCCCTCTGTAGGCGCAGGTGTCCTGTGGCTGGCCACAGTGACAGGCAAATCCGAAATCGGATGCCGCCAACCACATACATATATTGAATTGAAGTGAGTATGCAATGCTGTAGTGCAACCAGTGTTACAGCACGGATCGAAGGCAGCCAATGCACACAGAGAGAGATAGGTCACTGTTGAACGCTTGCGTCCGCTATGCTTGTATCTTCCCGGATCGTTACTTGCATGCCATTCACGTCACGTTCTTCAGGTGTCTGTCGACCGAATTCCTAAATCATGGGTGAGCATTGTCTAGCGCGATAGTGCATTTTTGTCCATACAGTCTGGCCATATACTGAAATTCAACTCGAAAATCTCATTGGCTGTGCAAAATGTTCGCGAATCACCCGATTGTTGTATTTCCGCTGACGGTACCCATAACCCGTACAGCTACTCGCGTGACGGTCCAGTCAGTTTTCAAAGTGCTTTACGAAACGTTTTTGGTGCACATGACAAACACTGTGCATCCAAAATGTGGGGTCAAAATAAATAGTTCATGAGAGAATGATCTGTCGAAAGTTCCTGGACTCTATCAACTACTAGATGCGTGAAAACTCTTGTTTTCTACTTACCTAGTGTGCGCAGTAGTGCACTTCAATGTAAGTCATCCTCATTGATGGACTTCGAGCTAAGACGCTCTCATTGGCTAGCTAATCAGCTTCAGGCTGCATGGGGCCAATTTTCTCCAGGCTAGAGGACTCGCTCCGAGGATTGCTATGGACAGGCTCCCTTAACACTGATACATTTTTCAATCAAAGAGAAACAGTCACGATCAACTAGGCCCTGGGACTAGCACGAGATTGCCGTGTGTTCGCCGTCTTCGGCAGCACAAACTATCACTAGAGGTGCCATGCATTTGACCTGCCAAAAGAAGCGACTCGGAAACCACAACAGCCAATCCGTGACTGTAAACACAAAATAGATATTACCAGAAGTGAGCGTACATTGGTTATTGTTCCAGCTACGCTACATGAAAATACATAGAACGATTTACCCGCTCGCTATCTCGTGGCATCTTCCCTCCGGAGCGTGACATGCAAGATTGTAAGTGACCGTTTACGGTTCTAGGAAAGATTAGGAAGCCACGTGGTGATCAGGTGATCACAAAATAATGGAGCATGAAATCCTCGAAAAATTAAGTGGTACAAGCGCTCACCAGATTTTCGAGGCCACATTAGTCCAGCTGTTAACAGGAAATGCGAAACTAGTAGTTCGATGTTGCTATTATAGCGCCAGTTTATTTACAAGTTCCTGAATCCTATATAACGACTCCAGAATCACTTCAACCTCGTTTGACCGCGATGTATTAGTTTACTCAGGTATCTAACAGGCATCTCACTGACAGGATTAGCAACTCCATTGATGCGTGCCTCAATAATCCTTCAAAGATTGACTAACACTCGTGAAAGCCGCATTTGTGATGAGCAAGCCGGGTTTCGTTGAGGTGGGCACTGCATCGATCACATACCTTTGCATCAATTGTTGGGGCATAGTCACATATATTTGCAGCCCACCGTTATCGTGTTACTCGACAATAAAATACCTAGGTGGATCGATGTGCCCTTTTGGATTGTCTGCTAAGGAAAGGTGTGCTCGAGAAGTATGTACATATTATGCGAGCGCTTTACCCGCGCAGCTCGGGCAGAGTGAGGGCTCACGGCAAGCTGTCGCCGCCCTTCAATATCTCCACCAGTGTAAGACAAGGATTCCCGCTGTCACCTCTCCTCTTCAGCTTCTCTGTTGACCATGACATGGAGACCGCGTTCACAGGACACGTTAGAAAATGTGGAGCCGCTCCCAAGTGAACGACTTCTTCACTTGAAGTATGTTGACGATATTGCCCTCATCTATGACAGCCAACAAAGGTACCAAGCAACACTGGACAAATTAGCACTAGCTGTCGGCCGTTTCGGGTTATGCTTTTTCCCTCAAAGTGCAAAGACCTCCAAAATTCGCAGGGATGGCCTCTTGTGCTGAAACTTAGTGAGGATAAGTTAGAAATCTTCCACCAGTTAAATACCTGCGCAGTTTGTAAGAATCCGAGGTTCAAGCGGAATTATGTATGGTGTCAAACATAGCTAATACTAGGCGCATCCGTTCAGACAAAGGAGACATACACACATCTTCGCTATCCCTGTTGGAGGTTGCATGACGCGGGTTTCGTTCTGTGTCTAGGGATCAATGCATCCTTCGCAGCTGCCTACCAACTTGACGGGCCTTTTCGCGCTCTCTCCAGGACTACCTTCGCCATGCCCTCGAGGAGACTTCGTAGAACTACCAGCTTCGGTCTTGACTCCATCCGCCTCCCCCACATCCTCGAAGTCCTCCAAGGTCTTTACATCCTCTTCTTCAAACGGCTCCGGCCAGGCGACCTTCATGACATACCCTGGTTTATCACGCCAACAATGTAAGAACCCGAGCTGCAAGCGGAATTATTTATGTTTAAACATAGCTTACTAGGTGCATCCGTTCCGACAAAGGAGACATCTACTCATCTTCGCTATTCATGCTGGGGGTTGCATGGTGCGGGTCTCGTTTTGTGTCTAGGGTTTGTATGGTGTGCATTGCTTATGCGTCCATTCCTCGCACGCATACGACTGCGGTCCTAGAGTGTTCCTCTTATGGCTTGCTGTTGGCCGGTTGCCGTTTCGCATCCTGGCCTTTCCACGTTACTGATAACTGGTGTAGTAGTGTCTGCCTTTAGTCCACCGCTAGTTGTGTCAACCCCCGTAGAATCCAAGATGAGTTCACAAACCGTATAGCAAAAGCTCGAGGCGGTTGTGAAACCTGACCTATTAGATCGGCAGACATTAGGAGGTTAGCTACATTCAACTACCGGTGCGTTCGTAGTTTGATTGATATCTGGTGGGGACACTGTGTGAACAATGAGCATTTTTTAACGCAGAAAAAATGAAAATTGTGTCAGCTGTACGCCGTAACGGCGCTACGCTGCCGCGCGATCACCACCAGTCGCGCGCTGGCTGAGTGTACCGCGAGGATGCCCACTCCTACGCGGATTGAAACCGGGAACCTTATGGTTGCAAACCTTGTGCGCAGACCACTCGGCCAGCACAGAAAGAGGGAGTGGACTGCTCACCACCGTTATTTCATGAACCAGGCTCCGATGGCTCAGTCACGTGTTGCACATGCCAGCCCAGTGGCTCCCGCGACGTGCGTTGTTTGCGCGCCGGGATGTGGATGGAAGAAGGACAGGCCAAGCGATGACTTGGTCAAGAGGAATGAAGGCCCTTACTTCGAAATTGGCGTCGCTTGATTTCCGGCCTTGGTTGGGGTCCGAAAGACAATGAGGACGTTTGGCTGCACACAATTTTTGACATGGCTAGACCCGACCTCAGTTGCGTATGTGTTCCTTTGTTCCTCCCCCTCCAACCACGATCTCATTTCCTAGGCATAATGTAACTTTTTTCTTGCGGCACAATAGCCGGTTGTTAACTTTCCGGAACGATACCCACCCCTTACTGCTGACTCAGCTGGTGTGACTCTGTTACAAGTTTTTCTTCTTTCCTTATGTATTGCGGCACTATAGCTAAGGTGTCTTCCACCTCTAGCTAACGTGTGTAATGATGATGATGGTATTTGTGCTATGTGTGGTGCAGCGCAAGCCACCAATTGTCCCTCTGTAGGCGCAGCCGTCCTATGGCTGCCCCCGTGGAGGCCACAGTGACAGACAAATCCGGATACGGATGCCGCCATTCCATCTTAGTCGATTGCTGGTTTATCTTGCTTTGACGCAAGGTATGAAGATTACCGCGTTTCCATCCAAGTGGTTAGTAAACGAATGAATGCTTGTCATGTGTCAACATCGATAAAACCTAATTGTGAGTCTATCACAAAAAAATTGGATTTATGATTAAAGCATAGACGATAAGTCTTCCATGAAGCGTTGTCATATGGTCCCCTTCACTTGGTTCGGACAAGCTTATTTCTCTAAATGGTGTATTAGCAAATGACCGGGAACATGATAATTTTATTACGTTTTTACATCCCAACATAAGTCGAATCAAATGGTGACAATGTGTTAACATGAATGGCCCAGATGCAACTCAGAAGCTGAACAATTTATCAGTGTTTGTGAGGGTCGCAGTCTTCCATTGATGAGCACAACGTAGGAGTGGTGATCGACTCCGTGCAGGTGTCACAGGCTTTGCTAATTATGGAATGGGACGAATCAGCTACCGTGTCGGAAGGCACTGTCCCACCTCCCGAATCGTAACGAAAGCCACTGAGTAACACTGCTTTGGAAGTACCCAACGAGATCGAAAACGAGCTTGTCAACTGCACCCTCAACTTCTGTAGTGCGTTTGAGGCTACCTCCGAGAGTCCTTCGCCAACAAGAAGATTAAGTTTTCCACCGGAACAAAGATTTCTGTAGAATGAGTGAATAATGGAACGTAATTATTACAGTTGTTAATATGAAATAACCATAGTGTATGCATCTGCTGACAAAGCTTACTGTTTTATACTGCTCAGCCATATTGTGTAAGCATTTTGGAGAGAAAGGGTAGACAACACTTCCGAATTGTGGGAGCACACTCCATGCTTTTTTCCGAAAGGCATGTCACAGACAACATTATCGAAAATGCCATCGCGAAATGGCAGATCTAAAATAAAAATCGGAGATAATTCAAGGAGAGCACAACTGGTTGAGTGATCTACTAAGGCCCTTTGTGGTGAGGGCGACAGGATAAGAAGTCGCCAGACATGTGTGTTGTGGGCAGGCGGTGCGGGACACAAAACTTAGAAATGGAAAAACAAGGTTGCTTGAAAAGCAATAGTAATCGGCAGTGACGGGAACACTCTCGTCGCTTGACCAGGTTAAAATGAAACGACAATGCGATGGTGGACAGAAACCAAAGTGACGCGGCATCCCTGGTAACAATAATAAACTAGCCCAAGTATAAAGGTGTTCAACTGTTGAGATAACAATGTTGAAAACAGATACGAGCGAGTCGCGGTCTACGATGTGTAAACGCGCAACTCGGAGAATAAACCGACAAACAATTCACATCATCCAAATTGTGATCACAACGGTTAACAATGAAATTGTAATTGCCTTGAAAATGTCCTAATATACAGAATTTTTGTGTGCACAAGACGATTATGGTCACGAGAACGTTTTTAGTAGGTCTCGTTTTGATAGCATTTTTTGTGTAGTTCATTTCCAAATTTTCGCCGTATAAACATATCCCAGTAGACAGTAATAATACCCTAGATAAACATATAGTGCTGCAATATTGCGTCACATTGCATGATACCGCCATACAAGCATCACTCAGAGTAATTCTAAGTATCAGGGAGATTAGAGTATTTTGTGAAGATTCGTCGTACTTAAATAGGCAGATAGCCACTACACATCCAGGAAAGCGCCAGATGGCCGTTTCATTCTATCGGGACTCATTAGTAACGCGCACCCGCCGAATCCTGCCGCATTTGAACCCACGACCTTATTCATGCGAGCCAGCGACTTATGTCACTGGGCCATGACTGATATCTGTGATACAGCGCGGATCATCCTCCATTGTCATGCATGTTATAAACGTGCAGAGGACAGCAAGGTCGTAGGTACGAATCCGACGTTTGCGCGCTACTGACGAGTCCCAATAGGGCGAAACGGCCGTCCAGCGTTTTCATGGATGTGTGGTGGCTGTAGGCCTGAGTCTAACTGCGAAGCATCTTCACAAAAGACCCAATAAATCCCCTATCACAAATAATAAGCGGTCGTCTTAGCAGCTTACATGCCACCTCGATTGGTGGCGGCTTGCAAAAGAAGTCGTGGCTCTGGGAGCTAGCCCTGTCTTCTACACGTTCATAACACGCATGAAAGTGGAGGATGAGCCGCGCTGTATCACAGTTAGATATCAGTCGTGGCAGTTCGCTGACTTAATTTAGACGAACAAGACAAGTCTTTGGCTCCGCATGTATACTGTGCCACATGTATAACACAACTTACCCAATTGATGAATATTGCGCGTTGTTGCCTATCACATCAGAGATAGCAGGCACTCTAACCCGAGGCCTTTAGAATGACCGCTAAAACCCCTACCCCTATGTCGCGTTGAACATCGCTAGACATATCTGTTGATGACTGACTGCAGGGGACCTTTAGAGCACTCGCGACTCGGTGGTTTAAAATTAAAAGTTTTGGCAGCTATCCCAAAAGCAGTATCACAATCAATACACCTATGTTGAGGGTGAGAAACACACAGCTAAAGTGCCGCAATAAAGAAAAGATACTAAAGAGTACACTCCAAAGAAGTCAAAAAGCACGTAACATAATGCTGAATATCATACAATGCGTTTGCTATGATATTGTAATTGGAGGGAAAATCTACAGGATGGGGATGGACAAAGAAACCCACAACGCAAACACCATTGGGACCGGGTACCATCCATGCCAGTAAGTGTTCCCAACCAAATGTGTTCACCGTCCTTCGGACCCCAGTCAGGCAGTGTGAATGCACCAACCGACGCCAAATTCAACGTGAGGGATTTTATTCCTCTTGACCAAGACATCGCTCGGCCTCCACTCCTCCTCTTCCAACCGCATCCCCGGCGCGCAAACAACGCCGTCGCTGGAGTCGATGTGCTGTCATACAAAACACGTGGCCCAGCCATCGGAACCTGGTGCGCGATATGACGGCGCTGAGCACCACATACACCACGCCGAACACATGCACTGACCACGCAGTGCTCTCACCAGACATGAGCTAAGCTGCGAAGGAACCGATGTTCGAACATGACTAGCATCTTTATGTCTGTCGACCTGATGGGTGAGGTTTTACAACCGGATAAGAGGGTTGAACGGACAAATGCAATATAAACTCTGCCCTTCAGGGCGAGAGTGATGTCGCCTCGGCGTCACAGATGGCGGAAGTTGGCAAAAGCACCTCGAAATTTTGCTATATGGTTCGTAACCTCAACTTCGATCCCACGGGCGCTAATATAGCTACCTAGGTACGGATTTCTGAACGGCTGCTAGCTGATCACCACCAAGGGTCAGTGCAGGGGTGGGTCCCTGCCAATCTTGGAGAAGGACTTTGCATTTCGAAGGAGCAAATTATAGCCAAAAAACGATTGACAGTCAGCGCTAATTGACCCAGCGCTGCTTGGCACCTTTGGGAGTTGTCACAGATTAGGGCAATATCATCCGCATACTACAAGTCAAGAAGTCTCTCGCCAGAAAGTAGCTTCACACCTAGTAGATCGTGTCCAGTGAACGCTGCTTCCATGCCTTCGTCAATGCCGAAGTTAGAGAGGAAAAGTGACAGCAGGCAACCTTGACTCATACTGCTGGAGATATTGAAGGGCGGCGAAAGTTCGCCATAAACCCTCACTCTGCTCCAACTATGCGGGTACAGCGCTCCGATAATGTTAATTCATTTATCGGGCATATTTTCACTGAGCAGAGTCCCACAATTGTTAAGCTGATATTGTCAAATCTGCTGTTGAGCAACTCATGCGTCGACTGTACTCCGTACCGTTTTAAGACGGCAAATGTGTCTTCCACATATCGGATCCAAAGTTTGGACTGACCAATGGCAGGGCAATGAGTTCCAATTTCTGCATCACAGCTTCGGCAACAAGCCCAGATATTGGGGATCCCATAGGCGTTCTTTTCGGTAGCTGTTATATGTATCCATCAAAGCGGAAATAAGTTGTCATGGGGAGGTCCAAGAGTTCCCCCAAAATTTCGGATTGCATGGTTGTCGTCGTGATTGGTTGGTAGCTCCAACATGATGTCGTAACATATAAAAGGTAAGGAGTGCAGTAACATCGAATGAGAGCATAATTTCGTCGTCTTCTGTCTTGACATCCGCAGCCTGTTGAGGCATTGTTCAGCATTTTTGACGCTATGTTTAGATCAGGTAATCAGGCGTTTTAACCTTCTCCACAAATATTTTGATAATTTATGTGATGGGTTTACTGGAAGTGGTACGATTTGCCGGAGTGTACTCCACCTTTATGCACTTAGGGTAGTCCATATAATTACGCAATGATTGTACCGTCAGCTTCATTATCCATCGCTCTAGGTTAATCTCATTTTTTGCCTGTAACCACTTTAGCGTTGTGTTGATCTGATTGACCAGCTTTGGACTGGGATCCTGATCGATCGAGCGATATGTGGTTATGACGAATAGTAGTTCTTTGGCTTTTCGGTTTATTCGCTAACGCCTTGAGCGAAGCTGGTGTAATGGTTATCATGGCTGCCTTCCAAGCAGTCGATCCGGGTTCGATTCCCGGGCTTCGCACCGCCAGTTTTCCACTCCCGTCCGAAACCGCAGTCGTTGAACGGATTTACCGCGCGACTTTAGCAGCGGGCTAATGGTGCACGGCTTTAGCATGTGCGACCCATTGTTCCTTGAGATAATCTCTGGCAATATGCTTTGAGGTGTCAAGGATCCTGCACTTTCATAGTGTCGTTTCTTGGGTAGTATTACCTTCCTGCGTTAAGGCTGGTGCAGTGGTTATCCTGCCAACCCCAGCTGTTGTAAATTCCCGTTTTTCCGCTGCTGGAATTAAACCACAGCATTAAACTAAGAGGTCACCCTCTGAAACTGACAATTCAATATAGCCGGCTTGAATGCCGTAGAAATTTCTTTTCTCTCCGCGTGTGCCAGCCTTGGAACGCCCTTCCTAATTATGTCGTCTCTGCTCCCAATCTGGCGATATTTAAAAACGAGTTGACGATGCATTGTCTCACTTACATTTCATTTTATGACTTGTTAGCCAGGGGCTACAAAACGCAATCAAACGGTGTCTTGCTAAAAGCTTAACCAATGGATTTGTAGTGTTCATAGCTTTTTCATTTTTTTGCGCTTTTCTCATTTCGCTTTTTATATGCGTCTTGTACAGTTGTTTTAATTCACCGTTTATAATACACACAATTCTCGACCTCGAACGGTGCGTTCTGCTTTCCTGCGGCGGCGTGTTGAGATTTTGCCTGTGTGCTTGGGAAAGTCTGGGCTTCGCGGAACCAACATTGGAATATCGTATCAGGGAGTGTGCAATATCAGTGGAGTTAATCCAACCGTCACTACTGGAGGTCAGCGTGTTGATACTTTTATCTGACACTAATCCTTTCCTTCTGGTGCGGTAGTGTTAGTTTCCACTCCACTACATATTTGGTGACCCCTGTTCTCCTTTTTTCCTACTGGAACTTTTTTTCGCCTGCATAATATCGTCCAGTACCACTCCCCACATTGACTCTTCTGAAAATTTTGTTGGTTTTTCCCTACCAGCTTTTGACGTTAACAAGGCACGTGTCTGGTTTTTACAGTTAGAAGCTCTTTTCCGTTGCCGTAGAATCACTTCTCAAAGTTCTATGTTTTCCTACGTCGCTGCCCATCTTCCCACGCACATAGCCGCCGATGTGGTTGACCTACTCGACCCTGTTCCTATCGATTCCCCCTACGATATGCTTAAAGCTGCTGTATTGAAACGCCTTACAGCTTCTGATGAGAGCAGACTTCACCAACTTCTCTCGGGAGTTGAACTGGGTGACCGTTCACCTTCACAGCTTCTCCGTTATATGCGCTCTCTCGTAGGTTCCTCTAAAGTCGATGACAGTGTCTTACGTCAATTGTGGCTAAAATGTCTTCCA